TGGTCGCTCTCCCCTCTTGTCTCCAGGTCTTCTGGTCTGGGTGCCAGCCAGTCCTTCACCTACTCCACTTATCACGTGTTTTTGTTTCCCCCCCTGCGCGTTTTCAATGCCTCTGTCGTGTTGTGCCACCGCCTTCAGAGTCATTCCACAAACAACTCTGTGCCTCTACTGCTACTGCTGTATCCCCCTGATGACCGCTCACCCTGACTAACCCTATCCTCATATCTTATTTTGAAAACCTGAAGGCTACGCCAGCCACCCCGACGCAGCAGCAGCAGCCGAGGAAGTCCGTCGGCCACCCAAGGTGTGTTCAGGGTTCGGCGCGAAGGTCCAGGTTCAGAGTTTTGTATGGTACGGTTTCGTACATGGTGTAGGATTGGGCGGTATGGTATCGATGTGGCGGCATGTCTATACAATTGGTTTGATGCGATGATTTTGGTAAAGCAGTACGTTTTGGTGATTTGGTTGGTTGCTTTCGGGAACCTCTGTCACGCACTACACGTAAAACAATACCAGTAGATCGCCACGTCAAGAAAATAAGAAAATACGATTGGATGGAGCTCGGTCTCACAGCAGGGGCTGGCTGAGTGGTTCAGTTGGTAACCTTGTGTAACCCTCTGGCCCTTGGTTGTAGATCCGAATCTTCCCGGAATGAAAAAAAACTCGCAATTTACAAGTCAAAGCGCAGCCTACACGCAAAAGGGCGACAAAACTGAGCGACAACTACTTAATGACAACGACAGATGTTCGACACCATGGCTCGGTGTTATTCTGCCTCGCGCGACGCAGATCACCAGCGAGACCCTCCCAAGGTGAACTGTCGCCGGAGGAAGTGATGGTTCTCAGGGACAGCTCCACGATCAACGGCAAGCTCTTCCTACCTTGGATTGAGCAGGACCTTCAGGCGAGGGCGTTGGAGTCGATGTTGCTGAAGCTGCTGCGGTGCTGCCTGCTGCTGCTGTTCTTGTTCTTGTTCTTGTTCGAGTTGAGCAATTGGTCTTTAGGTCTGGGAGGGTGCTATTTCACAGGTCAGAGGGTTTTCTATGCCCTTGTGGCCCTTGCTCCGCCAAAGGATTGTCATGTTTCAAGGTACACCACATGAAGACGTAACATTGTTGCTGTCCTCCCCTGTTTCCTTCTGTCGTTCAATTGTCTGTCTGCTTTCCTGGCTATTTCTCCTTCCCTTGCCTCTTTGTTTTTATTTCCATCTCCCCGTCTGTCCTTGCCTTCTGTTCGTCCCAGGAAACCTTCGCCTTCAGCAAGCCTTGGACTGATCCAGATGGCCTCCTGTCCCTGTCAGAACCCCAGCGGGAAAAACTAGTAGGGTGAGCTTCCCCAATCCAAACGGTTTCGAACTGACCCGAGGCGGTCCTCTTTCGTACCATTTGAAGGCCGTCGCGAAACTCGAGGATTTCCCCGAAAAGCACTTGTTGCTAATTGCCGCATCTCACGTGCTCTGTTAAACGCTACCACATGAATATGTTGTGACACGTTGCGAATTTTTGGGGGCTGTTGATGTTTTCTTTGTTGCGAAATACATTTTAAGAGTTTAATTTTTTTTGGTAGCTTGTCGATTGGTGGCATTGATTATGGGTTTGCTTTCACGAAATATTTTTTATCACGGTGTTCCCTTGTGCGAATTTGGCACGCATGCGTCTGACCGAGTTGTTTTGGGATGTTTTCGTGGCATCTGTGTTATAGGTGGAGCCGGCCGTCGCAAGTGATGCCGGGAGAGCCCCGCATGATCAAAAATGTAAACCCTTACAGCATCAAGCAGGACCTCATCACCGACTGCAGCTTCGTGGCGTCTCTGTGCATTGCTTCCGCGTTCGAGCGACGCTTTCACAAGCAGCTCATCACCAGCATCATTTTCCCACAGGCATGGCACACGACTTTGCTGTTCCTGTTGCTGTCGTTGCTGCCGTCTGTTCCAAGTTTATCAACGATTCTGGCTTGGTACAGTTGCATCCGTAGCACAAGGTCAAGACATAAGACCATACAATAATAGGCTAAATTATTCTACTCCGTATTCCGTTGTAATGAGAGCCGTGTGTATCTGCCGGTAGTTGTGGGCCAGTCGTGTGCGCTGTCGTTATAACGCTGTGTTGTGAGTCCCTTTGATCATTCTGCGATTTAGTGAGGTTGCTCGTTGCCAAGAAGTCGCTGGGAGGTTGGCGTTTACTACGAGGGTTCACACATGATACTTGCAGAAATTCGTGGGCACTTGGCTGTTGTTTATGTCCCTGTTGTTTTTTAACGTCGCCGTCAAGCAGGACGCACGCCGGATGCCGGTGTATAACCCTGCGGGCAAGTACCTCGTGAAGCTCACCGTGAACGGAGTGTCTAGGAAGGTATCACTGCGTGTACATGATGTTGAGCATGCTGCTGTGTAAATGTAACTCACGCCCCCGGTCACTTCCCTGTCTCGACACTAAATAATCGCTTGTTGTGTGTGGCCTTGGTTACATGTGGCTTGTGATAGGGTTAGCTTGTACAGGAGTATGAGGCATCAGCGAATACCACACGGGTGGGACAGCTTTCTGAACTCTTCGTAAGTATCGTCTCTAGCACGTGGTCCGTTTTGTCGGTCACGGTTAGAGCGTCGCCAGGCCAAGTTGGCTACAAGCGTTTATTGTCGGAAGAGGTTCGCGCCGCAATCAGTCATCTAGCCCTTCGTTCGCCATGGTTCCAGGCTGCTGATCTTATTGACTCCCCCGTACTCTACTATGATACTTGAATGGACTGTTTGACCTTGACGGACGGTCTACTCTCAACTCGCTGTTCGACCTGGTACTACAATACTTCCACTGACAACAGCGAGGCTTGGTGTCGTTGACGACTCAAAGACCAACTGTTTGGAGTACTGTACAATGAGTTTGTTTTTCTGTCATTGAAGTCTCAGTTTGTTATTTGGCTGACCTGCTCCTGACAGACGTTGTCGTTCAACGCTCGAGAACGTATCGGTGAAATGGCGTGTTCGTTCTGTTGTTTGACGTATCAGATTGTCGTGGATGACCTGCTTCCGACCGGTGACAACGGTCGTCTCTTGTGCTCCGCCTCGGCGGACAAGTCGGAGCTGTGGGTCAGCATCATAGAGAAGGCGTACCTCAAGGTATGCCGCAACAGTAATTGCATCAGGTGAATCGAGGGGTTGTGTTGTGAAACAAAACACATTGTTGACTTACATGTGGTCCTGCGGCAAGGGCACCCCGACAAAAGTAATAACATGCACGCGAGCGTGTGGTTAGTCGAGTAGACAACGCGGTGACGGTGTGCTGTGCCCTTGAATCGTGTACGTGTAGCCTGCTGTGAAGCAAGGACCCTAATTCGGTGGTAAAGGGTATGTACCTCATGGGCAGAGGGTATTGATTGAAATGATTGAAGTGTGTTGTATACACGAGAAGTCGATTCAGCCTAGCTGGTCAGTGGCCACCTGTGCGCACGTTCATCGTTCCACGCTTAAACTCATTCATTCCGGTGCCCCTTGTTCTCACGTGTCTAGATTTCCAAGTTGGACGCCGGATTGAGGATTCACGTGGCAAATCGTGTTAATATCGAAGTGAAACCATCTGATGTCTTCATGGTTGGACATGGAAGCGTTGTCTAAGTTGGTAATCGCTCAAAGTTGTAGTCGGTAGAAGGGGTCAACGATGATCGGCAGGTACGGCTGGCCTCCCAGCAGATTTTTTCCGTATCTTTTTTGCGTTGTGGTGGCAGGTTAACGGCGGCTACGACTTTCCTGGAAGCAACTCCGGTATCGACCTCTTCGCGCTGACCGGATGGCTACCGGAACAGGTTGGGAGCGCCTGCTGCTCATTGACTCTAGAAGTGCTCTCCAGAGAGAGAACCGCAGAGCGAACTAAACGTACAGAAAAATCTGTTAGTAATTGATTGTGAAGGGTGTGTGGGTGCAATATGCCGAGATAGCGTCAACACGTGTGAAAAAAACGTTTCCGTCTGAACGAAAACTTTCCCGTTCGAGGACCACCGGCTACCACAGAGCCGCAAATTGTCTATGAAAACTTGATTACATTTCTATCGGTACCTGTGAAGGCATCCCCAGACGTTCTGCATCGTAGTTCTTTGTACAGCAATAGCTTTTGAAACGTTTGTTCTCGTTCGTTATAAGCCGTGAAATATATATTTCAGATATTGCCCCGGAAATTACGGCCACCACATTGCCACACTTCTGGACACACCGCGTGTGAAAAAAACAGTCAAGGTTCTGGTAGATTGTTTCTGGCTGTTTGTTTTATTGTCCCCGACTCGTTTGAATTGATCGATCTGGCTCGTGTCGAATTTATTAGATTTTGTTCGAGGAGCACCGGCCACCAAAAGGACACACATCGGCGCGACGTGCGCAGCCGCTGGACAACTACGAGACCGCTGAACGCGTGTGGCAGAGGCTCCTCTCGGCGCACAGATTCGGCGACTGCCTCATCACCGTCGCGACAAGTGCATACCTAAATTGGTTGCGGATGCACGACAAGCAGATCTTGATTTTCGCGTGCAAAGGATGCGTATTGTTGTTATATATCTTGCCGTCAAATCGGTGTTGTGGGCGGTACGTTTTTGCGTTCCCGGTGTCGTTTTATGGTGAGGTCATTGTCGGAAGGAAGCCTCATTGTCGGAGATTACCTCATCGCCGAGATGGAAGTCAAAGATCACTGTAGGCGTTGCGGTTACCGATGCTGTCCTGCGGATATCGTTCATTGTGTTGCCTGTTCCGCGCTGTCGTTACTGGGCAGCCTTACGTCATATGATCGTCCGTGACACCAAGAATGTGCTCTGAGGCGATACGCGTTCCGTGCCTGCGTACTGTAGCAAGTCAGGACAAGAACACGGACATGCTCAGACTGTGATTGCCACCTGTTGTATGACGTGATTGTGGTGTTGTTCAGGCATTCGGGCATCGCGATTTCACTGTAACGTATGACATGACAAGCATGTTAATTTTCGATTTATCTCTTGAGACGACCTGAGACGGTTTTGGGGCCGCCATGCAATTTGTGTTGAATGTGCACGGTAGTTGTTTTTTGTTTCTTACAAAGTGTCCTGCCTCGTCTGTGTCATGCTTCTATTGTTTCTGTTTTCGCTAAGCCTGCTTTTTTTCGTTGTGCAGGCAACATTGCAGAGGATGAGGCTGAGAGGCTGGGCCTGGTACCCTCTCACGCCTATGCCGTTTTGGACGTGAAGGAGGTCAATGGGACTAGACTCCTGCAGGTGCGGTGTGCAATCGTCGATTACAGAACATGAACATGTTTTTGCCATATCGATGGCATCTGTGCCGCTTTCCACGATAGGAGATCAACTGCAATAACAGCCGTGCATTGCAGTGCGCCGCTAAAGAACAGTGAAGATAAACGTGAGATAAGAAAGCATGCGCAGAAGAGTGGTGGTCGTCTCAGAAATTGCACACTTCGTGGACTTGGGGTAAGCAACTACTTTTTTTTCGAATGCCGTAATTTTTTTGGCACCACACGTGCATGAGCATCGATCACTCCTCTGGAAGCCGTTTACTATTCACTCTTGTCGGACAACTCGTTTTTCTCGGCTATTGCATCGTTTCGTTTTGGTTATTTTCTCACTCTTTTCCCGTAAATTGTGTGCTGCGGAATGTTTTTTTGTCGATTTGCAGGTGAAGAACCCGTGGAGCCGCAAGCGATGGCGCGGGCCTTACTCCGTAGAAGATACCCAAAGATGGACACCGGCACTCAAGGAGTAAGTCATCGGGAGATTGCCCATCCGACTGTCTTGATATTGGACACTTTTTTTGCTTGAAGAACACTTCCCCAATCTAAATCGGTATCGACGTGATGGGAAGCTGGAATGCACCGATTACCATTCACAGACAAACTGTATATGTATGGATTTGTAATTTTCTTTTTGGTTGGTTGAGGTTCGCTGGGCTGTTCGAGTGAAAAACACTTCAGCTGTATGAGTTGATGACCTCGGGTAATGTCAAAACCGGCAGCTGGCCGGGCAGCTGTAGGCTGGTGCTGGTGCTGCTTTATTTCAGCGTGCATCACCCCTTCCTGACACTGCTGTGCTCTCATGAGCCCACTCCAGAGGTACCCCTTTTGTATACACCGAAAGGTGAGTAGACTGGCGCCAGGATAGATGGGACGGACACGCACACACGTTGCCTCTCCGATCATCATGGTGCGTCTTCATCAGCGCGTAATTGCCAGTGTGATTGCCTCTGTCACTGTCATTGGCGTGTCATCATCTCTGTCTATCATTGCCGAAATACTTGTTGGCCGTTGAGATGGGTTATATTTTCATCATCATCTGTGACTTTGCCGTTGCCGCATGTGACTGTCGTCATCATCATCGTCGGCATTGAAGCCATGGCCGTTACCATTGCCATTGTAATTGTCACCATCAACGCGACCATCCGTTGTCTTTGTCATTTTGCCTCTCCGTTGTCATTTCCATCGCCAGGGCCGTGAAGTACGACCTGGAAACAGCCATGCTCAAGGACAACGGTGTCTTCTGGGTGGACTTTGCATCCATCTTCCAGTACTTCAAAAACGTCTTCATGAACTGGAACCCGAGCGTCTTCAGCTTCAGGTGGATGTGGACACTCGAACCCTTGCCTCAAACAGGAACTGCACCGCTAGCTTATTTTGTTGATGATCAGGAATTCCCACATCTTCTGGTTGAGATGATTTTGCGGCCCCTAACCCTAACAGCAGTCCTCCAGCCCTAGCTCAGTGTCTATATGAGTGAGAGCGGCGAACCTGTCAGCTTGGGGTGATTTGAGGCCACAACACACGTGCGATGCGAATATTTGCACACTACACAGAACGGATGCTGTGATGCACTTGCAGTAGAGCTGGCCAACAATCAGGCCCAATCACTGTACTGATATGCGATTGGAGTCCAAACGCGTATCGCTCGTAGGGCCTGATTGGTGTGGACCCCTATCCTCTCTCGCAACGATTTTTTTTTGTTTTCTCTGAACTCAACGTGATGCGTGCGTTCTACGTTCTGAAACAACAGGTTCGTGATGCACCTGCGGTGGCCGGTGAACATGGGTCCCAAGAACGACTCCTTCAACCTCGGCGACAACCCGCAGCTATCGCTCTCCGTCAAGAGCAGCGCGAAAAGTGCCGTTTCGGGGGCATCGGGCTCGGCGATGGCTGCCGCGGCGGGAGGGGCGGCAGCGGCGGTGGCGCGCACGCAGTCTCCGACGGTGTGGGTGCTGCTAAGCAGGTGAACATGGACACCAGACGATGTGTGTTCATTCCAATGTTTGGCTTTTTTTGCTTTTGCTGTATGTGATTCCCGTAACGCTTGTTTGTGTCCATTTCGAGTTCGCGATTGAAATTTATGAAGACGCTGTTTGCTTTGGGGCAGAATTCATTCATGTGGAAAAACGAAAGAGAAGGGCGTCTGTGGTGTTGTAGAGCAGGTATGTTATCACTTGCGTCGGGTTGTGTCTGTGGTTGCTATCAAGCTGTTGGTCGTGTTACTTGATTGAACCAATTGGACTCCTTGGTGAGCTTGGCGCGTGTCGCATGTCACTTGACTACCCGCACGTTGCACGAGATTCCAGACACCCCGATTGTTTTTTAAAGCTCAAATACTTGACAACAACGAGGATTTAAGAGCCACATGATACGTTTTCGAAAAGCTCTCGAGGAGACGATTCCAACGCCGTCGCTGCTTTTGTTGCAGATTTCTCGAGCTCGAGCTTGAAGAACGGTCCGGAGGTGTGGCATCTTATGCAACCTCCCGTGCTGTCGGTGATTTTGTGCAATAATTGTTTTTTTGCTTGTTTTGCCTTCATTAAACGTGTAGCTGACAGGAAACGTTGCCGTGTATTTACATTGTAACCTAATGCAACAAGAGATACTTGTCAACCCCGTTGCTATTTTGTCGTTGACAGATTAGGCAAGTCTTGCGGTAACAGTCACAACCATGTTTTCGCTTGTTCTCCTTGTTTTGCAGACACGTGACGGTGATCGAGTCTGACCCTGCAGAAGGCGACTTTTTGACGATGCACGTCTACGCGGGCACGCAGGGGAAGCGGGTCTACTACCCGGACACGCCAATGTTCAAGGGGATCTACACCAACAACCCTCACACGCTCGTCAGGTATGACCCAGCGGTTACGTATCAACGTGCCGTCCTGCGTACGGGTACCGCCAGGCATACCGGTACTCCGCCGGGTATTACCGTACCACCGGTACCGTGCCAAAACTGTTCGTAGCGCACCGTGTATTCCGTCCGTCGAAACGACGAGTTCATCCATCGGGGTGTATCATTTTCTTTGAACTTTCCATTATTTGATGTTGCAGGTTCGACTTGCCGGAGAATACGGGCTCCACGGACAAGTGGGTCGATTACACGCTCGTGGTCAGCCAGTACGAGAAGAAGAGAGAAGTCAGGTAACAAGTAGAGACAGACGAGTGACAACGGCTGAATTCCTTGTTTTTTTGTGTGTGTTTTTTTTTCGTCCTTTCCTGTTCTATTTTCTGGTACTCTTCTGTTGGCGGAAAACCAAAACGAGAAACAAGCAGGGAACATGATACAGATGCGAAAAAAAGACGGATGAAAATGTGATGGTACACTGCAGTGATGGTGGTGTTTGAAAGTTCTTGTGTAATAGTGATGTGATGTTCAATTGCTTTGTTGTGTCGCCGTGGTAAGCTTTCTTTTGTGTCCCAATTTCTTGTTCCTCAATCTTTGTCGTTGCTTTGGTATCCCATTGTATCAACATGACGTCGTCGGAGATTTGCCGTAGGATGCGTACGATGTGATGACAACAAGCCACTCCTGTCTATTGTCTTTTTCGTTGGCGAATTGTATCTGTGGGTTCACCTCTGTTGGTGCATCAGTTTCCTCTCACGTCGGTCGCGATGTCTGCTTCGTTCTTCTTCTTTTCTTTCGTTGCGTGAAAGGTACTCGGTTAACGTCTACTGCTCGGACACCTTCAAGCTGTACCATACTCCGACAGCTCCCGAACACGCGCGGTCTATCGTTGTGAGTAATGGTGACAGGAGATTCAACACCGTGCTACCGCTATTTTTCGCTCGTACACAGCACTACCGAGGCGCAGCATGATAGTTCCGTTTCGGTGACTCATCCCACGCTGGAGCTCACGCTTGTTCGTCCAGAATAGCTCTAGCTAGCCGATGAAACATGTAGCACCGGTCGTGGTAGCAGCTGTGTTCGGTGTGGATGAAGTGCAGGTTGGCCGGGTTGATTGTCACAATGCGCTCGTACGTTTTCATTCGACTGATCTCTCTCGCTCGCTGTCCCCCCGCCCCCCCTCTCTTCCTCTCCTTTTTCTCTCTCTCTACCTCTCGTTCCATCCGTCGTTCACCCTGTATCACCCCCCTGTTACTTCTTTTGTCTGCCTGCTTTGTCGTTCCAGGGCGCATGGGATCAAAGCAGTGCGGGGGGGGCACTGGGGAGCCCGCTTTTCTACACCAACCCACAGTACGCGGTTGTGCTCACACAAAAAACAAAGGTCCACATCGAAGTCAGGGCACCCAAAGACGTGAGCGAAACAAACATCGGTTTCACACACGCCACGTTTTTTTCGCGTCTTCTAGCAGATAGGAAGAAGTATTTTGCGTTACATGGGGTACAAAGTGACGGCCAAAGCAATTGTTTTGTGATGTTCCATGGCTTGCTTTGCGTGCCTGTATTTTTCCCTTCCGTTCCTGCACGGCATGTTTAGTTTCAGATCAACGCTACCGTGGTGTCGCAAGGAGGAATGCGGATTGACACTGTCTCGAGCGAGCGAGAGGTGATGACGACGGGCTCATACCGGCCGGGTTTCTGTTACGCGGAAAACGTTCTGCCGGCGGGAACGTACACTGTTATCTTCAGCACCTACAGACCGGGCCAGGTGTGCGCGACAAGACACAGTTCTGTACTTGCACAATAATAGGCAATGACCACGTATATCCCCTTCGCTGCTTTTAATACGCTCGATTATTTTCACATGAGGCGAAAATTGAACTGGCTTCTTAGTTTCTTGTCGATGCCACGAATTGGAAAGAAAGGTAAAGACCCGTGTTATTTTCCCGCCGCTTGCCGCGGCTGCATATGCTTTGATAGGTGGCGGGGTTCGTGGCAAAGCTGTGCACGACGAGCCCTGTGAGGCCCCCTACTCGCATCCCACAGGAAGGGGAGGGGATGGCATCTAAGCAGGCAAGCTACGTGGCACCATCGTTTTTGGACAAATGTCTGTTTGATGAATGCCAGACACGCATGACGAAATGACTCAATATCATAGTGATATCGAAATGAGCATCCGTGAATAGCTTAGTCCGATGAAGGCCGTTTGCTGTTGCTTATTACGTGCTATGGGAGCTTTCCTCCACACCGTATGCGTATGAAATCGTATGTAAACAACGATTGCTTGTAGAGCGGTTTATCATCGGGTATGTCAACGGTTGTTTAGCCAGGTCGTTTCTAGAGTTTCTTATTGTACGATCAGTTCTGTGTCTTCCTGTAGTTTTGTGCGTCGCTTTTTCCTTCTTCCTTGAGCTCTCTTCTGTAGTTGTTATTTGTTCAGAACTCATGCGTTTGTGAAGGGGACAACTGATAACGTCATTGTTTTGTTGCAGGTGGTGCACGGGCGATGGAGACAAGATGATGGCACGGCGGCGGGCTGCGGCAACTTCGGCAGATACCTCGATAACCCTAGGTTTGTAAACAACCAGGACATCCTTTTGGTATTGACACCTATTTTTCAGGTTTCCCTCGACAGTACAGAGAAAAAGGTGGAGACAGAGAGGCATTTCTGCCAGCACACTCGACACGAACCCAAGGTTTGTAAACAACCAGGATATCCTGTTGGTACTGACACCTATTTTCAGGTTTCCCTCGACAGTACAGAGAAAAAGGTGGAGACAGAGAGGCATTTCTGCCAGCACACTCGACACGAACCCAAGGTTTGTAAACAACCAGGATATCCTGTTGGTACTGACACCTATTTTCAGGTTTCCCTCGACAGTACAGAGAAAAAGGTGGAGACAGAGAGGCATTTCTGCCAGCACACTCGACACGAACCCAAGGTTTGTAAACAACCAGGATATCCTGTTGGTACTGACACCTATTTTCAGGTTTCCCTCGACAGTACAGAGAAAAAGGTGGAGACAGAGAGGCATTTCTGCCAGCACACTCGACACGAACCCAAGGTTTGTAAACAACCAGGATATCCTGTTGGTACTGACACCTATTTTCAGGTTTCCCTCGACAGTACAGAGAAAAAGGTGGAGACAGAGAGGCATTTCTGCCAGCACACTCGACACGAACCCAAGGTTTGTAAACAACCAGGATATCCTGTTGGTATTGACAACTATTTTCAGGTTTCCCTCGACAGCACACACAAAGAGAGAGATAGAGACAGAGAGGCATTTCTGCCAGCACACTCGATACGGGAACAATGGTCGCTGAACCTTTTGCGCGATGAGTTGAAGACAGATATTGCAGAAAAAAATCTCCCAACACGGGCTGTAGCTTCCTATTGTGGCAGTAACGCTGTTTCTCCCTGTATTTTCGCGCATCTGTCGTGAGCGGCACCGTCTAGTGCATACACCGATTGGTGGTGACCGCCGATGATATTTTCTTTTTTTCGTTTTTCCCGCATAGCGCAAGGACAGAACGACTTGTTGGTGAGTTTCACGAACGTTGACAGCGCGATCGAAACACCCGAAGCTAGATCAACGAGGGTGTGGACGCGAAGCACGGATGAACCGCGTTGGTGAGCTAGGCAAGAGAGGGGTTCCACCATTGGGGGTTTTCCTCACCTCGCAAGGAGAAGGAGGCGTCGTCTCCATTACGCTGTAACGGTCTAACTTGTCTTGTGTGCTTGCTTTCCGGCCATCCTACAATGTTGCTGCCGTGTCATACGTGCTACCCGTATGATTCTTCTGTAGGATCCATGCGACCGACGTGATGGAAGACCAGCACCAGTGACAATGTTCATGTGCGACACCAGAAAACATTCCACGGCCCCCGTCCCCTCCTCCCAATCTCCCTTAGGCAAGAATGATCCCATGACAACTTGCGCGTTCAGGACGCCTAAAGCACGGCGTTTAGGGCTACAATCACCGTATTCGCTCCAAAGGGACGCGTAGTCAAATGAGAGTGCATGGCTGCTTAGAGAGTACGCACACCCCCCTTCCCCCCCCGTGCCCATCCGTATTTGCTTTTTCAGGATTTGATTTAATATCTAAAGGCGAGAATTCTAATCTTGTGAGATTAAGTCGCTCTATACGACTTGCTAACCTTCATCAAGTATTTTTATGAAGCTTCCAAATAAGGGTTATCATAATCTTTATATAGATCAATAATCACTTTTTCAAGTATTACTTTTGACTTATTTAAATCACAAGCTTAAGAGTAATCAGCTTCCGCACCATCTGTTCTGCTGTAAGGTATCTCTTCACCGTACCATCGAGAGCGTCAATACTCCTCCGCGTCGTCATCCCGGAAAACGCGGGACCGTTCCCCGAGGGGAGGCCCGCGGTCAACATCACGCTGTTCCCAACCACGAGGGAGGGGGCGGGTAATAGCTCCTCGGGACCCCCCGAGGATACCGGCGGGATGCCCCGAGGTGTCGGGAGAATCTCCCTCAACCCCAAGTGTCAACCGACTTCCAACCTCGCGATCGCGTCGTCGAATGGAGGGGTCTACATGGACTCGAGCGCGGGGGCCGTTACGGAGAGTGTGGAGGTTGAGGCCGGGGAGTACGTTGCCGTGGTGTCGTCGTTTAGGCCACAGGAGGCCGACTATGAAATCACGATCTACACGACCCCGGCGCTCGCTAGGGTGCAGCGGATCATGGGCTGACGTGCTCATCGGATGGCTGTTGGACAACGATTAGCTTTGTGGCCTCTTTTTCCGTGTATTGCGATCGATTGCTGTAAATGTAAAATGCTTGCTTTTGATAGATAAAAATATATATAGCACTTCATGTTGAGAGAAAGACATTACGTGCCCGCAGTTTTCTCGTGCCTGTTGGAGGTTTCGGAGAGGGCGGAATCTTCTTGAGGTAGTCGTGTCCACCGTCACGGATTACAGGGCTTAGTCTAGATCCCAAAGAGTACCCGCCGTAACCGGCTCAGTATCGCGGTTCTAGTGTTTTCTCCTTGCCGCGGACGACATAACCGCACAAAGAACTAAATCCCACTTGCCATACAGAAAAACCAAGTGAACTACCATGCAAGCAACGCTCAGTTACCCTGTTGCCTCACTAGGCCTACCGGTTATCGTGCGATGGTCAGGTGGCTGAGGTCAGTTCAAATGTCTGTTTTTCTTTGCCACACAGAACCATTTGGTTCATCAGTTCAGAGCAACTCGCATTAAACGAGGAACAAGGCTTCAGGTGCGTCCGGGGCAACCCCCCGGGGTATTGTTTGACGTAAATCCACCGTCCCCGGTTCTAAGATCGATACAAAAACAGTGAAAACTCCTAAACGGTCCGGGTGTGTCGCTTGCCTTACTTGCAGTGTCATTGGATATGTTCTAGTGCCGGCCCGCTCACAAAAGGCATCTTCACAAAAAATCGATGCTTACGCGTCTCATACAAGTAGTCTAATAGTGCTGCACTGCGGTACCATGGAAACGGAGGACGACATAAGACAAATGGGGTCGGCCGCCGGCACCACTGCTGTGTTATCCTATTCGTTCGTTATGACACCTCGAAAACATTGAGCCTCACTGAAAATTGGTAAACGTTATCCCTTCGAGCGGGCCGGCACTGCTGTGACCTTGCTCAGGAGCATGGCCTTGCTCAGGAACATGGGCTCTTGAACGTACATATGCATACTATTGTATGCATACTCGAAAGCATGGCAGATTGGTCAAACCAGTCTTGTTCTTGACATTCATTTTCAAAATATTTTACTCAACAAAAAATGCCACCACCGCAATCGAGATGCCTACCGTACGTTAGAGAATCGCCGTCCGGCACCGAATCATCTTTACGTTCCTTCTCGTGGGCTCCCCTGTGCGTGCTCTTTCTCAGCAATGTGTGTGTGTGTGGGCAGAGAAGCGGACTGACATACATATATCAGGATACAGGATATGCTGGCATGTCCGTTCTCAGTTCTGTTCGTCAAATTCTGCAATTCAAATTCTGTCTTGTGGGGGCGGCGTGAATCCGTGGATAATCGGGGGTGCCCAATGCATGTCTGAGCCCCCACAGATCCAGCTCCCAGAGCCGGACCCTATCAACACGGCTCTCTTCCCAACGACAGCCGAGCGGACAGCAAAGTGAAGGTGCTGTATCTAGTGGCTGTTCCGGACGTTACGTGTGTGCTAAGATCACTCAACCCGCCACTGATCGGCAGCTGGGTACGTGTTCAGTGAAACTTCAAAAGTTATTTTTAGGCTCGTCGGTTCCTCCGCAACAGGATCAGACTTGCATGCGAAAGTGCAGTGTGACTGCTCCCTTCCTACAAACTAGTTGCAGTAGGCGTGCGGATCGACATTCCGTCACATGCAATGGGCTCCCGTGCATTGCTTACGAATTGCGTAGTGATGGTGACGTTATGTTCCTGAAATATTATACGGTATCATGTTTTCCCGACAAGTCGATCCGTTTTGCGTACCACCACAGCTACTGCGTACTCTATACGGTATTAGAAGACGCATACCGGCAAGGAGTTGGGTTTTGTATGCCAGGTGGGGGTTGCACACCAACAATACAGGTGCACACCGCGGTTACCGTACTTGTCCACGGGTATACCCTAGACACCTGGGGAGCATGCTTTCGGTTTCGCGATGTTCGCTCTCGCGCAGATCGAATCGTGCCTGGAATATGCAGGCGGTGCTGTAACTTCGTGCTGGCGTAGCCCACTTGGACAGCAGCGCATGCTACAATCGGCAAGTGACCTACAGTACGCGATATTCCCGCAGCAGCACTGCTGCTACGGCGAACGGAGAATACCTCCGCGGCGGTTGTAAGCATCGTTCATGGATGTGCGGGAGCAAGCACCGTAGTATGGTACACTATGAACCAGTAGTTTTCTGCCTACACGTCAACCTTCTTGACAATTCGCTCTACATGTGTGTGTTTCTACCGCAACTGCCAAGACCATCAGCCTATAACAATACTACACCGCCCCCCTCCGCCTGTTGACGAAAAATAAACCGAAGATCTTAATAGAGGCGGGGCTTCTATTTCCCCGGCCGCCGGAGTGACGGGTACAAGAACCACAAGTAGTCGAGACCACGGCAGCACTGCTGTAGTGGGCCAGCATTTTACCTACACTACACCCATATGGGTGATGCGGCAAGCGGCACCCAAGCGAGCGGCCTCACAGCAGCGGAGAGGGCGAGGTCATTGGACGAGGCCGGCAATACCCAGGAAGCTGCCGTTCTGTACAAGGTGTGTACCTTATGCTTTTTCACAGTCACTTTCGCACATCGGTACGAAAGCCACTGGAAAACGGCTGTCCTTGGCTGTGCACGCCGAATGAAGTTGGGTTTACACGTTTTTCAAGAATGGTGCACCTGGTATTTCACGCGGTGAGCGTATGTGCCGTTGTCTTACGTATCGGTAGCGCAACACCGCATTGCGTTGGTTTATTGTTTGCCGAGCGCGATTCTCTCGTCCTTCAACAGTAAAATATTGCTTCCACAAGCGGTTCCAGGACTGCTTTTCATGCTTCTCAGGCGCTCTGGGCTACTGTAGATGTTGTCTGGCATGTTAACAGATGCGCCCTGCTTCTTTCAGGGTTGTTTCCATGATTGGCCGCCCTTCTGATTCTGTGTTTGGATAAGGGCGATGGCGACGACAATGATGATGCGCCAATTGGCCAATTGCCGAGTGCCGCCATCTTCCATCCAGCGAGGCTAGAGTTTCCTTCCAACACTTGTCGACTCCGACGAAAATCGTTCCATTAGTAAAAGTCTGCAGTTTCAACCCTCTGCGGTATCGACCGGTGGTGTAGAGAAACAGGAGTGTAGCGGCGGGCAGAACATCAAGTGTCTAACCCATGACCCTCGATGATTCTTGAGATTAATGCTTCATTATTGTTTTCGCTCTTGTGGATCATATACATAGGCTCGTCTTGGCGACAGGTACATTATATGTTTCCTGTGCTTGGTGGCGTGTTTCAGAAATTCGTAGTTCTAAGCAAACATCCAAAAGTCTCCGATTTTTTTCCTCCCCCGTCTCTATATCTCATCGACGATCACGAACACATCGCCTGCGCTAGGAGGACCCTGCAAGCGCCGAGCCTGTCCAATACGGTGCGTAAGCTCCTCTCGGACAGCATCGAGGAATGTGAGAAGAGGGTCACGGAGATTGGATTTCAGCAGGGTGGGGCAGGAGGGTTGCCGGACTACTTCGCGTATCTTCCGGAGGCACCGGCAACCAAGCCTGTCACGCAGCTCTCTACTGACGCCGGAGTATCGATAGGGGCCAGCAGGGCACCAGCGGCAGAGGGAGCGCTCTCAAGTGGGGGATACGCGAAGGTGGAAGAAGGTGTGTGCGTGGGACGGGAGGGGATAAGGTGGCGGGTGGAACGTACTTGGTGGAAAAGGTAACAATGAGTGCAGCGGCGGCACCAACTTTGTTGTTGGGTGAAACATGTACATGAATCGAGCAAGGGAGAAATGAAAAGAGAAAACAGCCTGCGAGTGCCCCTGTCACGAATATATCCCTGCGTCATTGCTTGGCCTACAGATGAGAAAAAGGGGACAGCGCACTAACCACGGCGACGGGGTTAGATGAACAGGGACAGAGGACGGGATGGGCACAGGCTGGGGCTAAGGATGAGGCGTTGGCTGCGTACATCCAGGCGGCAGAGGTGTGAAAGCGAATGTTTTGGGGGAGCACGGGAGAAGGCAATATTTGTTTCCCCGTTCGTACACACCTGACGTTGTTTCCGCGAGTTTCAGGACCCACGTTGCAATTTGAGAAAGCTTTTGGCTGCCGGTGGGTGGGTACCCAACACCTCCGTGTGAAGCTCTCCCTTGCGGAGGAATGGAACATTGGCGCTCAGAAGAAGGGTGGGTGGTATTTGGCGTCATGTGCGGCATCTACCTGTTGTGTGTTTCGTCATCAGGGCCTTTGCTGCACGACAAGCTCTCTCCACACGCCGTACAACCAGATGGTGTTTCAAGATCTTTGGCCACCGATATTTGCTTGGTTTCCTCGCGCGGAAGGGGGCCGGATGTAGAAAGTATAGACAAGTCTCGCGTGCGGGGCGATGCTGTTGTTGTGCCGTAGTGTGGGCGGCGTTTCGTGTTCTTACCACGACTAAAATGATACGCAGGCCTAGGCAGCAGAAGCGTGCAAGCTCTGAGCGAAAAGGACGGCCTAACCCTACCCCACTCTGCACTACTTGCTTGAGATACCCCCGGACTCGTCGGTGCTGACTAACTGAGGTTTTGTTCCACATGAAGGCATTTTGTGAAGCGCGTTGCCAGTTCCGTGATATTCTGTTGACGTGGTTGGGTGTGAACCCCTTCGTCACGCATCACATTCCCAGGCAACTACTAGACATTCCGATGTGCTGTCTGGAATCAGACTTTTGTTATTTCCCGTTTGAAGACTTTAACGAAAAACCTGTGGAAACACACTATTGCACACTTGGCAATTGTGGGCGAAAACGGGAAGCAAGCGCTCCTGGTGGGACGCTGTGTCTGGCACATGCAGTTAGCATTCCACCGTTGATAGTACCCTCCGCTTCCCCCGTCTCTGTTGCACGGCTTCACATACTCCGTGTCGCGCCTGAAAAATCTGGGTAGTACCCTCGGCTGTCGCTGACGAACAAACACGAAAAATCGCGACAAACCCCAGCTGAAGTACCTCCCGGCCTCTTACGCATCCCTCCCCGCCTTTTCGGTTACCCTGCCTGCATGCGTAACGCTTACGCCCCTTGCCTCTTGGGCCGTGGCATCG